TTTTTTTAAAAGAAAAAATAATAAAACATTTATGAATAGTGTGGTGGAAAAAAAATATTGGTGGTGGCGTGGGTGGGGAGGAAGCATATAAGAACTAGAAGAAAGTTGTATGTTTCATCATTGCTACATTGCACCCTGACTGGCTCAACTCCACCCCACGACCCTTCTTTATGGAGATGTCCAGTTGCCTACAGATGGGCTTTGGGTCCCCACTCTGCACTCCCCCCATTCACAATATGATTTTTTGTTCTTTGATACCTGATATCTGATCTCTTTGACACCTCGTGGTCACACAGGCTGGTGTGCTACTTCCATGTGGGCTCTGTTGCTTCTGAGCTAGATGGGTGATTGTTCACTTTCAAGCCTTTGAGACCCCAGACATTATATCTTTTGATAGCTGGACACCATCAGAAGCCTCATTTTATTTTTTTTAAACCTGGTTTCAAACTGCTGTTTGCAGTTAGCAGTCCAACACACAAACTATTATGCCACTGCTATGAGTCCAAATTGATTTGGAGTGAGCTTGGTTTTGTTTGAGAAGGAATGTGGGTTGAACATCTGCTCTATTGATGTGCAAACAGTTTAGGCACAGCGAACCACTCTGAACAATCAGGGGTGGGAGCACCTTCCCAAAATCCGCGTTCCCAGAGACCACCAAAGATTGACATTGTAAGCCGACCTTTATAAGGGCAGTCTCTGGTCTGCTATATTCCTTCCTTCACAGCAAGAATCTCATAATTTTTGATAAATGTGCTTTCCTTTTTATTCTGTTCAAAATACCTGTACATACTCGAGTATAAGCTGAGTTTTTTCAGCACATTTTTAAATGCAGTTTTTATGGTAAAATTAGGTGCCTCGGCTGATATTCAGGGTGGCTTATACTCGAGTATATACAGTACTTCCTAATTCCCCTTTTGAGTTCCTCTTTAATCCATGGGTTATTTCTCAAAACAAAACGAAAAAAGGAATCATTACCATCGATTAAATTCTGAATCATAGCAACCCTGTAGGACAGGGTAGAACTGCCCTTGGGGGGAATAGACAGCCTCATCTTTCTCCCTCCCATGAAGCAGTGAACATCACACACCTCAATAAAGAGAAGCAGTTCTAGCCATCCCATTAGGAGTGACTTAATTAACTCTGACCAGTATGGATCACAAATGTTATAAATATCCAAATGGCCATGGGAAGAAGAAAGGTTCCCTATGTCTAACAAAAAAAATCAAAGAAAAATAGAGCCCAAGAGTAAAGTCACATAAATGGGGCTTCAAAAAGTTCTTGGAAAAATAATCAAAAGGTAATGAATTTTACTATGGTAATAATCAATGTGAAATTATTGACAATAGTGTCAAGCAATTAATTTAGACAAGAATAACCTTCCTAAAAAAGTTGTGCTGGAACAACTGAATAACCATATGCAAAAACAAAATAAAGCTACCCTCCACCTCACACCATGTATTAAATTAATTCAAACTGGACCATAGACCTAAATGTAAGGGTTAAACGATAAATAATCTTGTTGAAAATATGGGTAAAATCCTAGTCATTTGACTAGGCATAATTTTCTTAAAAAGGAAACAAAAAGCATGATCTATCAAATTGGACATAGGCAAAGTTTCAAAATGTGACTCTTTAAATGGCATTATTAATAAAAAGGCAGGCCAGACCATGAAAAAAAATATTGACAAAACACAAATAGTAAAGGGTGTGTATCTAGGACATATAATGTGTTCAATTCATTAATAAAGACAAGCTTTTTCTATTTTTATACCTCTTCCTAACTCAATTTTTATTGTTTTATCTTTTTAAAGTCATCTATTTCATCTAGAGTGTAAAGTGTATTAGCACTTGAACTTCAATATTTGATGGCAAGTCCCAGATTTTGTATCAGAAATAAAACTATTCGTAGTTCTACGTTCATTCCACCTATCCTGTCAACTTATAAACCTACCTTAAGGGATCAGCTATAATCTTTTGCTGAAATATCCATGACAAACATAATCACTGCCTCATTTAATACCTGGTATTAATTGCTGGTTTCTGAAAGCTTAATGCTTGAAGCTAATAGCATCACTAATACTTAGTAACACGATACCAAAGTATAATTCCCTAGGCAGTTATCCACAGAAATAATTTTTTCTTTAGTTTTAAGCATTCGTATTACCAAGGCAATATCTGCTAGGAGTAAAGTCATAAAAACAAAAATGAAGCAAATCAACAAAACACCCTCTATTTCTGCATGAGAATTTGACCTATAGTTAAGTTTCTAGTTCTGTTCTTTTGGGTGGTACATTAACTTGGATACTGCACAATTTAAAAATAATCTCTGATTGTGCCTGGATTGGGACAAATTACAGATGAACTAGAACTACCCCAGAATGACTTCATAACCTTGGTTATAATGGCCCAATTAGGTCTGAGTAGTATCATTGTATCTTTTGCTATTCTAATGAGAGGCAGAAGAGAGAATTTCGGGTTATATTTAGTAACCAGATCAATGCATTAAGAATACCAATTAACTCACTCTCTGTAACAAATTACTGCCAGCATTACTAGTTATTTCAGATATTTAAAAATAATCCTTTAACCAGCAATGTCAGAAAATAACCTATGATTAGGACACATGCCAATATTGCCCAATAAGTCAGATAAAGAATATACATAATCCTTTACTCTCAGGTAAAAAAAAACCCACTCTCTACCCCACCCTCTTACCCTGTCCCCCCTCATAGCATTCACCACCTATGTGGAATTGTAACATATACTGTTTGTTTTTTCTGTCCCCATCTAGAATGTTCTCTTAAGGGCAAGAGTTTATCTTGCTCACTGCTCCATTATCAGTATGTAAAATAATCACTGCCACATGGTGGAGGCTCAATGCACTGAGCCCCTGGTGAATGAAGCTCCTACTAAGCAATGGGTGCTCCTGCTTAAGGTTTTCCTGGGTGCTTACATGGCACTGAGGGCTGAGAAAGAGTGTGGTTATCATCTATGATTTTATGAAACAGCCACAGGTAAAACTTTAAAGTTTTTTAATTAACCAGAAATACTTACTTATTAGAACGTTGTATGTGTTAAGTGAAATAAGCCCAAGCAAAGGACAAAAACTGTCTGATTTCTTGGGGAGGGAGGAGGACTAGGGTTTACCACTACAGAAGGGAGGTAAGGTTGAAGAACAGAGTTTTAAAACACACACACACACACACACACACACACCCTCCCTCCCTACACAAAAATATTAAAAAGTCCCTTTGGGATGCTGACCTGTGAGCTGAGTCTTGAATGATGAAGGGCAGCTATGTTCAGATCCACGCAGAGTGAGTAGCAAGTGCAAAGATCCTGAGGGAAGGTCTAGGCTGACAACTTTGAAGGACTTATTGATCTTGGGGTCCACCACCCCATTTCTAGCATAGTTAAAGACCTAGGGAGGATCTCCATGCTTCTAAATGGATCTGAACAGAGTAAAAGGACCTACTCCTATCCCCAAAGAGTCCCTAATTTCAGAGAGGTGTCTACAGAATGAGAACCAGATGGGAAGACTTCACTACAAGAGCAAAGCCATTGCAGAAGGCCTGTGCTGGGTCTGATCTTGGACTGAGAGCAGGTGACACACAGAGATGCTGATGCCACCGTCTTTGACTCCAGGAGCTCACGGGGCCACAAATTCATACCTGACTCAAGGAGTGAAGACATGGAGGCATCTGGGATCAGATATAGCAGGAATAAAGGCTTGTCAAAGACAAATCCTACTGTCTCTTTTAAAAAGTGGAGAATTGCACAGCAAAAGACTTCATCAAAAAAATCAGCAGAGGACTGTATTGTTTCCCAACTGAAAAAAGGTTCAGTAAAAGTACACCTGGTAAAGGGCTAATTCCCCCAAATCTATAACAAAGTACATCTTAACAAGAGAAATACAAATAACACAAACAAAACCCGAGCATAAGACACGAATAAGACAATTTCCCGAAGACGACATCACACACAGGCACCCAATGACTATGTGAAGAAATGTTCTAAATCATTAAAAATAAGAGAAATGCAAATTAAAACAGTAAGACATCACCCCACACTGACACTTTTGGCAAAATTCAATAAAATGGACAGTAACAAATGTTGGAGAGGATGTGGAAAGATAGGATAAAAACACTTTACATTGCAGTGGGACTGTAGAATTGTACACCATTATGGAAATCAGTATGGCACCTCCTTAACAAATGCAAATCCAAGTACCTCATGATCCAGCAATCTCTCTACTGAGTATAGACCCTAAAGAAATAAAGAATGCAACATGAGTAGACATTTGCACACCTATGTTTATTGCCACAATTTTCACAATAGCAAAGACATGGAAACAACCAAACATCCAATTATAGAGGAATTGATAAACAAGCTCTAGTACATTCACACTCTGGAATTTCATGCATCACTTAAAAACCATGAGAATGCTCTTAAACACTGCAAGACATGGACAAAACTAGAGAACATTATATGTAGCAAACTCAGTCAATCTTACAAAGATAAATATTTAATATCACCACTGTTAGATGAAATGCAGTTTATACACTAATATACCAGACTTTGACAACTACGGCCAGGGATGGGGGCAAAAAAAAAAAAGGAGGATTTAACAGGAAAAATAAATAATAATTTTTTTTAAAAACTCCAGATTCCTTACCTCTCAGATCTAAATATGGTCCAAGTGGCTTAAAGAGGAAAATAAAACTGAAGAGGACTTGGAGTCTTGGGAACCTATAGGTTCATTTCAAACATATGGAGGAAAAGAAGCGGGGAGAAAAGCTGTATGGTTTTGTCACAGAAATGCTATGTAATTTAGCTCACTTAGTAACATTTCATAACAAAAGTTGATTTTCCTCTACAGATTCCACTTCACAAACGACTTTAATCCTATTTCGAACCCATCCCTGCTTCTCTGAGGAAAGCAAGAGGTCAGAGCAAGTGAACGGAATGATGCGGTCAGCAACAGCGGCCAACGGAAATGCCTCCCAACTAATCACCACTTCCGAATGTCTCACGGACAGCCTGGTACTTCTCCACACATTTCCTGCTTTACCTTTCCCACAAGCTTCCTCTTGAACTAGTCTCCTATTAACAACACATTCCTCCCAATACAAACAAAGAAAAATCTCACTCATTGACATCAAGTTGATCCCAACTCATGTTCCTCCAGAGAAAAGAACTGGCCCGGTGGGTTTCTGAGACTAACTCGGAAGCTTTGTCTCTCTTCCAAAGAATGGCTGGTGGTTTTCAAACTGCTGACCTTGTGGTTAGCAGCCCAACACCTAACTATGCCATCAGGGCTCCACCAACCAACCAACCAAACAAAAATAGTTGAGCATTTGTTTCCTTTACAAGCTGTGCTTGCATAAGTAATCAGAGCTTCTGGAGAACCACACACCAGTTTCCCTGATCATGGTAGCTTTGCAGAATGCTAACATTGCTCAAAGTCTGGCAGGCGGCTTCCAACTCTCCCTGGCAGAATACATGGTAGTAACGGTGAAACACTGGACTTGGGTCAGGGGATCCTACTGTACCAAGCGGCTCAGCAGGTTTGTTTTTACTAGGGCTTCCCTTAAAATGCCAGGGAACCAGTAAGTCTTGAGAATGAAAAGAAGTCCTATTAGTGTGGATAGGCAGCTTAGAATTAGTAGCTTTCCTTGAATTACAGCCTCTCTCCTGAAAGTCACTAACAGAGGGTGCAGAGGGTGCAGGACACGCTGAGTCTCCATTGCCCACGCCAGGCCCTTGCTCCACAGGTAACCCGTGCACTGATGCATCACTGCTGATCTCCTCCTCCTTTCCTCGGTTGTTTCTGGTTCCTTTAAGGTACTTGGACTTCTGCTTATTGTACTCTTGTTCCATTGCCCAGACGTAAACGAGTGCCTTGCCACCGGGCCTCAGGAGTCGAACAAGTTCTTGGAGGGCTGCCATTCTACGTTCCTAATTAAATCAAACAAACAACAAGATATGATCAATCAGGAGGAAAAACAGAAAGGAATCAAGAAAAGACAACTCATTCTAGGCCTGTTTCAATTGGGATGGAAACTTAACAAATGAGCTTCATTCAAAAGTGAGGAGGGCCATTTGGCTCTGTGATTGAGAGGAAAATGTGCTGAGGAAGTAGGGAAAGACAAGTTTATTTCTATTCGTCTCCCCTGTGCCTTTCCCTCTGATTGGCTGGCTGAGATACATGAAACAATTGGTGACTACTGAAAGACCAAGAGCAGTGACAAGGTGCCCTTGTCGACTAATTGTTACATCTGTACAATCCTTATTGTAGCAAAAAATGATTTATGCTGTAAGGGAAACTTCCATTTCTGTCCTGGATGCAGCAGCTCAATAAATACAACAGATGAGTTTAATAGCAAATTAGACACCTCTGAACAGAGAATTATTGATCTGGAATTCAGGTCAGTATCCATATTGAGGACAGACATAAAAAAGATGGAAACAACAGAAAACAGTGCCAATCTCGAGTGAAATACCCAGTGAAAACATCTTTTAAAATGAAGGCAAAATAAAGACATTCGTGAATGAAATGAGTTGACACAGTAGGTGCAACAATAGGATCAAACATTTCTGATATACAAAAGAATGAAAACATAAGGGAAATTTTCTGAAACCTCCTCAGATTGTACACCTAAATGACTCATTTAAAGTGACTGAAAAGCCACAGAAATAGTCTTACATCCCATGATGGGATCGGAGTAAGCAGTCTGACCATGAGTAATTTATAGAGCACTGAGTTAATGGGAGGAAACTTTATACAGAATTTTCCAACTTGGGAAATACTGAGAGATTAAGCTGAAAATATAAAATGAGACCAGTTTTTAAAATTTCATGAAATGTAAATAATTTAAAATAGTAGCTAAAATTCTTACTATGTACATTTTATGTAGACTCTTTAATCCTGACAGTAATTCTGTGAGAGAGGCTATTATCCTATGGATGACAAAATTATGTTTGCTGAGATCACTACAAACACTTACTTGGAGTGATGAGACGGAAGCATCAGACAAACTGGAAAGGAAGGACCCTGTAGTGAAGGGCAGTAGACCTCTCACTAGGATTTTAATACCTTTCTCATGGTTCCCAAATATTCAAACATCTCAAATTGCCTTTCCATAGTCAATCTGGCCTCCTATCCTGAATTGTCTTCCACAATGCCAAAAAAAAAAGGATCCCTATAACGCACAAATCTGATCTACTCTTGATGGCTTTCAAAGTCCAAATCCATGACACTCAACCATGAACCACAACCAACGAATACCGTAAATGTTGTCCTTTCCACTATACTGTGACCCCTATGAGATCAAGAACTGAGTCTTACACACACACAGCAAGGGGCAAATACTACTTACTGCTGTTGCAAAATGGTGAATAACAGCAATGGAGATACAGGCATCACAGGACCCGCTACGGATGGGCACTGCCAATGCATCACAGACAAACGCCTGAAACTGCCTCTCCCTGCAAATGTCCACAAGGTTTTGGCTACGATCACAGCCAATCTATAATACAGAAAGAAAGGATCTCAAACATGTTGAAATCAAGAGTTATGGGTTAATTTCATGCCTTAAAGTAATTAAACAGATTTCATACTCATTGTTAAATGGTCGGAGACTATGGAGTTATTAGTTCTTAGAGCCAGCACAAAGCTGGAATATATAAGACAGAGTTTCAAACAGTTCACAGACAGAAATCATCATCTTTCAACTCCATTTCCCCACAACTCTTTGAAATTCCTTTGTATTAGTGAAGGGCAGCATTTATTACCTTAACAAGTAACGACTGAACCAAAATTAGTGAATGGCAACAAATTCGACTGGAATAAAAGTAGCAGTGATAAAAATGGATGGTCCTAATTAGATCTTTCTATAATACCATGTGTTAAAAAAAAAGAAAGTATTCCATAAATATCAACATTTGGTTGTTTAAGGGAAGCTACAAATATGATGATGTAGGTGTACTCTCCTCATTACATAGTGTGATGGCCCAGAGTAGCAGGTGGGCTTCTTTCTGCCTCTTCATCCTTTTGATATGCACTCTCTCGCAGTCACACACACAAATCACAAAACAAGAGTAAAATAACAAGACCGTTTTTAAAAGCTTTCAAAACTTGTTCTACTAAATGTGAAACCTACATAGAAAATAAAGTACTGAATTTAAAATTTATAAGATGCTATGTAATTAAACCTTTGGTATCATTACGCCATCCTACAGGGATGAGGGTGCACACACAGTCTTCAAAAGGATTATGGGAAAAGATAATGGGATCTGTTCAATGAACTTTTTGAAGGGCCCTTACAGAGAGCAAATGAATATATGTAAAGTGGATAAGGTACGGAGGGGCTGAAAAATGTTAAATCACCAATGAATAATTATCCCTAGCTCTTTCTTCTTAACCTAATCTCTGTAACAGGGAAAAGAAATGTACAAGCAGATTTAGTCGAGGGAAGTGGAGCTGTGCTGGAGCAGTGGGTTAGGAATGAGGCTACTAACCAACGGGTCAACAGTTTGAAACTGCCAGCAGCACTGCAGGAGAGAGATGAGGCTGCTACTCCCAGAAAGAGTTACAATCTTGAAAACCCACAGGAGCAGTTCCGTCCTGTCTTGTAGGGTTTCTCTGAGTCGGAACTGACGCGATGGCAATGAGTTTGCTGATTTGAATTTTTTGACACAGTGAATTCTGATCATTTAGGGATCCTCAGCCCTTCTGAGGATAAAAGACATAAATCTTAAGGTCAACACATCCTTACTGAGGCAAATCACATTACCATACTAACCATACTTTATGAGTTTGTTCAATTTCTAATCAATATTAAAGTTTCTACATCCTATCCCACAGCTGTATTAATTTCTGAGGTGGAAGAAAAGGTACCTAGCTAGAGGTAAAAGTAACATAAACTTCCGTGATTGCTGTTTAAGATGGAAATTTTACTATAATATCTACTAATAACAACATTGGAGTGGCAAAATTCTCAATTAATAGTTCCTTTTACCCATGTAGAGGAGCCCTGGTGGTGTAGTGGTTCAGTGTAGGGCTGCAATCGGCACGGTCAGCAGTTCGAAACCACCAGCCACTCTGAGAGAGAAAGAGCGGGCTTTCTTCTGTCAGGATTTACAGTCTCAGAAACCCACAGAGGGGAGCTACGAGTCAATGTAAGATAAAACTCTTGACGTATTACTTTATTTTCATCTATAGTTTATACCACTCAGCAAACGGCTTTAACACCCAAAGGGAAATACTATTCTAATGATATGATTATTACATTTTGGTGCTTGCTATGGTAGCTTTTGTTACAATATATTTCCATGCTTAGAATCAGATGTGTCAAGTATGCCCAATTCTGACAAATCTTGCTAAAAGTCAAAAAGAAAAAAATCCAACTTGCCTATAAAACAAATTCCCAAGATTTTCAGAGAGGAAAGTTATTATATGAGAACCATAAATAAAACACAAGCAGGCAAGCATTGGCAAGTATTGGCAGCCAAGTAAAACAAGAGAACCCCCTCCTCCTCCCTGCCAGACACCTGTGGGCACTTCCAACGAGAGAGAGCGGGGACGACTTCAGTGAAATGGTGTCTAATGCCTTCCTCAGCACTTTCGTCTTTCACTTATTTTGCCTTGTGTCATCAATATTTTTTCTCCTCTACTTTTAATAGTTTTATTGGCATATAATTCATATGTCATACACTTCAACGATTCAGTCATATTAAAGAGTTGTATAGTCATCACTACAATCAGTTCTAACACATTTTCTTCCTTCCTGTACTCACTATTAGCTCCCCACTTCCCTGCAACCTCCAACCTCTCCTCCTGTATCCCCAATAATCCATTAATCCAGTTACTGTCTCTATAGATTTACCTATCCCAGATTTCATATACTGGAAAATATACCAAAAAACAGCCAGGAGAAGGAGGGGAGGGAGGACGTGGGGGGAGACTAACAACAACAAAACAAATCAAAGAAAAACCTCAATTGAAAAGAAAGCAGAAAATACTAAAAAACAAATTTAAAATGTGTCATAGGGGAAATAAAATGATCAGGTATTACACTTTAATAATAACACCTGCCATAGTCAAGTTTACAATGCTCTCAGTCTGATACCAAGGCTATTTATTATTCACATCCCTCAACTATGGTCAGAGGGGATTCATGGAAGAAGCATACCAGCCTGTATGAACCAAGGATTATAAATAACAAAATCCAAATCCAAAGGAGGGAATGGTATTGAAGCTTAAATTGTGAACATCGCATTAGCAGAAGGCGATGGATGACAGCCGGAGCCCCAAGTCCATTTATGTGGATAAGCCTCCTGCGAATCTTGCCCTACTTGTGTTCCAAGGTTAAAAACCAAGCATTTTGCTAGGTTATAAATTCAGTTCAAACCTACCCAGCAGCTGCACAGGAGAAAGAGCGGGCAACCTGTTCCCATTGAGATTTTAACTCAAAAACCCCATGGAGCCCTTCTCTTCAGTCACATTAGATAGTTATGAATCAAAATCACCTGGATGGTGGTACACAACAACAACAAAATGGTACAAAACAGCAACTCAAGGATAGAGAATGGTTTATTTTCAGTATCCCATCCATTCAAGGACTTACGTAGAGTCACCTATTTCTGGGAGCTAGATCAATGACAGCAGAACAGGTATTGGGCTAGCACCGTGTCTGGTATATACTGGGCTGCTAACTGCAAGGTCAGAGGTTCACACCCACCATCAACTCCTCTGGAAAAAGATGAGGCCATCAGTTTCTGTAAAAAGTTACAGCTTCAGAAACCCCATATAGAGGATCATTATAAGTTGCAATCAATTCAACAGCTGAGGTGGATGGGAGAGATCAGTGACATAATAAAAACACATTGGGCTTCAATTATATGAGGGGGCTTTTTAAAGTTCATGGCACTTTTCTATGAATGTTTTGAAGCTCCCTCATTTACTTTTGCTCCTACACAATTTTTTTAATATATCCAACAAAGCATTAAATAATTCTACAATTACATGTACAGATTAAGACTAAATTCAAACTAGTGATCAAAGTTGCAAACTAAAGTAGGCTCCATTTTTCTATTAAACTCCTGAATATTTGAAAACAAAATATGCCAGGATGATGGTGTATTAAAGCATTCTTAGATAATTGACAATGTTAATTGACTCAGCCACTTAAAAAGCAAATTGGGAAGCCAAGTTTTAAACAAATATAAAAAATGTTCAAACTTGTTACCTCAAAATGATAGGCTTCTAAGTATTTGTCCTAAGAAATTAATAAAAACATGAAAAATAACTGAATAGGCTGGTAAAAAACTGATACAAATTACCCACTGACTGTATAAAAGTAGATTCTTTACACTAATACATTCAAGCCTTACAATACACCCCAAGTTAGGAATTATTGACCCCATATTGCAGATGAGAAAACTATCAAGAAAGGTAACCCATTTGCCCGAAGTTGAACAACAGCTATAGAGTGAAGGGAGGATTTACATCTGGGTCTTCCGTGTCCTTCTTTTGCACATTGTCCCTTAACAGACACATTCATTAGCGTCACTCTTAACAGCTTCCCACTGAAAACCTAAATGTCTAATAACATCTAATTAATGGAATAAGTCCAGGAATTTTACATTATTGCATATCATAATGTAAATGTTAAATAATAAAAATAAGTTATCAAATTGCTTGCATAGGGATTACTACTACATAAAGCATTTCTAGAAAAATCTTGGAAGAATATTCATCACAATAAACTGGTTGGTTAGGGTGACAAATTGTAAGTGAATCTCTTCTTTCATCCATAATGTAAACTGGTTATACTATTTTTATCTCTAAGAAAATATACATTTTTTTAAAATATACAGAAAATGGACACTTGGGAGACTCTGACTGGTATTGTACAGTTTAAAGTGCAGAGAAACAGGCAAAGGCAGTTTCAGGACAGTGAAAAGGGCATTCCAAACTCTAGATATGACCTCTGGCTTCACCCCAACTAGCTACATAATCTAGGAAAGATGTTTAATGTCAGAGATTATGCAGCCTTTTAGAAGGGGAAGAAAAAAAAAAAGTATCTACTTCTAGGGTTAATATAATGATCTATATTAAGTATTTTACTAACCAGTAACCAAAGCCAAACCCAATGCTTTTGCGTCAATGCCGATTCATCGTTACTCTACAGGAGAGAGCAGAACTATTCTGCAGGGTTTCTGAAGGTGTAAATCTTTGTGGAAACAGACTGCCACATCTTCTTCCTACAGAGTGGCTGGGGGTTCAAACTACCAACCTCTCACTTGGCAGTCCAATGTGTTACCACGGCTCTTTACTAACCATAACACTATTATGCCAATGTTGGTTATTATTGCTCTGTGGAAGAAGGGATGAACAAAAACGTGTCCTGAATTCTAGGTTTGAAGAAAAATCTATGTGTGATAGTTAAAGTTACGTGCCAACTTAGACAGGCTGTAATTCTCAGTGGCTTGGCCAGCATTATTTCTGTCTCCCACTCTGTGAGCTGATCCGAGCAGGCAATCAGCTGGAAGAGGAGCCTCCTTGGAGGTGCATCCCGTATTCATGGTAGAAACAAATATTCTGGCAAAGTTCAAGTTCTCCCAATCCTTAGCCACACTTCCTCCTCCTCCTCTGACCTGTGATTCTTGGGAGGGGAGAACCCTTCAGCCTGCTGTCTGACATGTGGAGTCTGGACTCACCAGCTCCCAAGATCCTCTGTGCCAGCAGCCTGCCAATTTGACTGGCAGGTTTGGGGTCATCAGCCCTTCCACCACAGGAGTCAGGAGAAGCCTCCGGCTTGATTGCTGAGTCTCAGATTTGCGGCTTG